GAAAATCTGATTTCTTATTCTTCGCCAACTCTTTCTTCTTTACTATCACTTCAATTCAAGTCTCTCTCTCTCTCTCTCTCTCTCTCTCTCTCTCTCTCTCGTGAGTCTAAAGAGAATAAGTATTTTTGACAAAAAAATTTGAGATAAAACTTAATAATAAGAATAAATCATAGATTGAATCTAAAAAATAGTTGAGAGATATAGTGCACTAGAAATTGTGAGCCTTTTATTCAATTCTCTCTCTAATCTGAACTCAATTTTAAAGATTCCTTCGACTCGTATAATAACTCTTGTATCCAATTCACTGAAATATTTTTCAATCTCTTTGTGTAGTTAATCACATATTTTCATCATTCAATTCATACCTCCAGTACAGAAAGTTTTTATTGTAAATAATTTCTTACAAAATAAATGATAAACGATTAGAAAAGTGATAAATACGTTAAATATTAACTTCAATTTGTTATATTAAAAATTGCAATAAACTTAATAAAATTTAATTAACTTTGAAACTTTCATATAATATTTAGCACATATATATTTGTATTTTACAGTTTTGCATGTATATAAGTTATATAATTGAATCAATAATATGATTAAATAGTTTTATTGCAAAATTTGAAAATCTGTCAGCAATTAGAAAATGAGATGCAATACTAAAACTGAAAAATATGTTTTATTTTCAGCTAATTAAATGGAAAAGTGCTTAACAGTTAATGGCCACCAAAAAATAAATGCAGGATATGTTTTAATGTTCAAATTGCAAAACTTTTATTTATGTAATTAATTAATTAAAACAAATTTGTGTGCACAAGTTTTTAATCCAATGGCAATACTGTATATCAATTAAATGTTTACGTATATCAAGCCAAAACAAAATCCCGTAATTGGACTCGTTTTTAAAATTAGAAATCATTTATATACAGAATATTATATATATATATATATATATATATATATATATATATATATTATATATATTCGCACATTAATTAACGTTAATATTTGTAGACAATTAGTGTTTTACTGAAAAATGTCTGTACATTAATGAAATGTATATATTTTTCTATATATCTTTGCAAATGAGTTGTAAAAATTACGAGTTTAATATTATCGGAATATTCTGTATAACATGCATTTATTACATACACAATATTGCGTATAATATTTGCCCAAAACTTCAATTTCCTCTACGAGTCGCACATTAATTAACGTTAATATTTGTAGACAATTAGTGTTTTACTGAAAAATGTCTGTACATTAATGAAATGTATATATTTTTCTATATATCTTTGCAAATGAGTTGTAAAAATTACGAGTTTAATGATTATTTACGAGTGAAACGAAACTAGCGTTGATGAAAGTGAAAACCTAACTATACTGGGAAAACACAAACTACAGCTAATATAATCAAATTGATTGCACGAAAGGGTGTTATTTTGACTGAAAACCATATAAAGGCTAAACATTAGGGGCACTGATCTATCAGATGTGATACTTAATCAACAAAATAATCGATAAATTAATCGTACAATAAATTAAAATAGATTTTTATAAGCCTCGATAAAAAAACTCAGATCAATATGACCATGGCATTTGTTTAAACTAATTTTATAGAAAATTAGTTAACCTACATTATTTATACTTATAATGCAAGCATTGTACAATATAATTATAAGCTATGGTCATTTTCAGCTATATTTCACTAAATTATAACAAACCCTGAGAGAATTAGTGGTCTGGTGTAACACTTGGTTACATTTATGTATAACTCGCTTTACTCACTCACTAGCCATCTCTCTCTCTCTCTCTCTCTCTCTCTCTCTCTCTCTCGACAGTTGCTCTATCACTACAAACCAAATAAAAGTCAATTTCTGTTTGACTCTTAATGAAAGACTATTACTGTCAAGGGATAGGCGGTTGTGTAGACCCAAACAGAAACTACTTATAACCCTACCAGTGATAATGCACTCTTGTATAGACTTTCTCTCTCTCTCTCTCTCTCTCATCGACTAATACCAGTGCCGCACAAAAGTAATAGTTTTGTAAATGAATCTCAACTATCGTTCCTAAAACTCCATTTCCCTTTTGGACGATCGGTTTGATTTGAAAATATTGTAACTTTTTTTTGTTGCGTCCCTTTAAGCCTATTATTTAAGTTTTATTTTCTAGTAAAGCGTTTTAAAGTACTGTATTTTCTATTGTAAACTATTTCCTATAGGTATTGTCAATATAGAAATAGTATTTCAAGGTACTGGAGGTTATTTTATGTTCGATGAAAAGTATCTTGAACAGTTATTTTTTCAAATTAATGAATATACAGGAAAATGTTGTTTACATTTTTTGTAACTTAAATAACTAGAAATAATTTAACAGTTTTACAATAATAATAATTGTACACATATTAGCATATGATATTTATACATTGTATCTATGTAAAAACTGTAAATTCATACTTTATTAATGTATAAATGTATTGAAATCTTGACATATTTTTAATACGTATATATATATATATTTTTGAATACAAATGGGCAATATGATATTTTATTAATTTTATAATATGTACAAACTTTTACTATTAGTATCTAAATCTTAAAATTATTTATATACTGTATGTATAGATTTATATAAATTATAATTGAATTAAATAAATGTTAACAACTACAAAAGTGATAACAAATATAAAACTTATTTCTCAAAACACTTAAGTCTACGAAAAATTAGCAAAAATGTGATTATAATTACTCACAATTAAAGTACTGTACTGTAGTATCATAGCACAGAATATATTATGCATACCGTTCCCAGTAGCATACCAGTGCCTTTTAAAATACGAGACCACTTTTCGGTACAGCAATTAATGTATTGAAAAAAATTACTGCATTTACTTAGCATTTCTCGGAAGCCTTAAGAATTTTAATGAAATTTTGCACTCATTTGTTGTTAACATAATTTACTCATTCATTATGGGCTGAGAGAGAGAGAGAGAGAGAGAGATGGCATACATTTGTATGAAAATTGATTTTTATTCATTAAATAGAGACATACGCTATATCTGTATATATATACACACACAGAATATTCTGTATATATTTACTGTATATATATCATATAAACTCATATTTTGAAACATTAAGTGCGAAGCGAGTGAACGAGTAATTTAAAAGTTTTTATTTATTTTTATTTATTATCAGATGTGGCGCTAAAACTATAACCACTTTTCGCCGACAAATATAAAGTTTATAAAACTATATATATATTTATTTCTCAGCCAAACATTTTATCGGCACCGAAACACTTTGTTATATACATACATACATACAAACATACAAATAGTTTTTTCAAATCAATACTTATAGTGAAATATTTGTTGTAACGAAAAAGAAATCGCTAAACAAATCAATACTCAAAACTCAGCCAACGGTGCGACCCATTGAAAGCCAAACACGCGATCGATTGTAACGCGAAATACAAATACAAATAAAATTTGTAATTGAATTCACAATTTCATCGGCGCATAGGCTGCTCAGGGATGGGTTATTAAATAGCCCGGAATATAAACACTGGTATTTACAGAATATTCATTGACTACAAGAATATTCTGTGTGTTACAAAATTTTCAACACATTATAATATTCATAAACATTTATATAATGTATTTATAGGAATATTCTGTATACATGTAACTAGTCTTAAAGTTATTAGCATATTACGATTGCCCTGGTGTTTGCCCCGGGTATAAGATTTAAGCACATTACTGACTCGAGTATATGATTAATTGGTTTTAATAAAAGTTAATAATCAGTTATAAAAGTGAATAAAAATATGAGACCATTAATCATGAAATTATATGTAATTTATGGCCTAAAAGTCTATAATATTATATAATACACTATTATTTAACTTAAAACTAATCTCTTATTTTAGAGACTTAAGACAAAAATATAGATATAATATATAAATTATATATAAAATAACAAAACGTATATATCAACAAATATATTTTCATTAATTTAAGTGAACAATAATTTAATACCCAGTTCATTCACATTTTAGTAACAAAGCATATAAAAGATAAAATGTGTATTTTAATATAAATTTTAAATATAATTAATATTATTACTACATTTTATATTTTAACTAGTACACAAATATTGATATTATGTTACAGAATATTCTGTATATTTATAGCTTGTTTCGCAATTCATAAGTACACTAATAATATAGGAATTTATATTTTATTTCGCAAAGACTTAATATAAGTTTAAAACTTTTTTCGGACAACCAAAATAAAATGTTAAATAAATATGTCTTTTGATATGAGATATCGATTTCGTATATCCTTTGGACAAAAGACAATATAAAAAAGTTTGTTTTTGTAGACATTTTGCTCAATCATTGCTTTGATATTTATTTAGATATAAATTTGAAATATAATGTGAAATTATATTCAAAAACATGCCTTACAATAAAAAAGTAGTATAAAGTTTATATAAAAAAAGTTTATTCTTGGGATTTATTTATTTGTTTTGTTTTATTTTATTTATAACGAGATGTTTATAACGATTGAGACGATTGAGAGAGAGAGAGAGAGAGAGAGAGAGAGAGAGAGAGATTTAATATAAACTGTAAATGTATATTTTCAACACACTTATATTAATTAAATATTATTTAAATAATTACTTTCATAGAGGTATTTAATGTCTTTTATTAAATAAATAAATCTATAATATTTTTATCTATTTGAGCCATGCTTATGTTTTTATTAGTACTGTATAAAGTGCATATTATATTAAAATCTAAATTATAAGCCGTTATAAATATAAAATTAATATATTTAAAATTTAAGTTAAATTCATGCAAACGTTTTGGCTAGATAGGAAAAAATTGGACTTTATTTATAATGTTAACAATATAATTTATATTTTACATTAAATTGGCAATGTTTAATCTTTAATATAATTATTTTTTCAGTGCAAATCGTAAGCTACCGGCGCTATCATACAAATCCAATGCAGTTAACAAGCGTATGACCCGATGATGAAGCGGGTGAATGGCATGACCCCCACCGATGGACAGCCATTCAATCGGCTATTATTTATACTCATATTCAACATCACGTTATTAACGTATATATTATGCGCGGAATATTCTGTCGCCAAGAATAAGATTCAAAGTGCAGGTATTTTTTGAAACAATTTTATGTAACCTTGTTTATATTAAACAATTTCTATATTATATTTATAAAGAAAAATATTATTATTATTATTGCTTTTATTTGTAAATTTAATACATTTTATAGCAATTTGTTTAATATAAAATAAAATATAATATAATACCATGTATTAGATAAATATTGAAATACAATACGTTTGACACACATTTGTCGTAACAAATTGATTTTGATATAAAATATTTTTATTGTCTGGTAATTAAATTAATCTATAATATAATATAATATCTCATATTATTTTTCAACAGCACTTCTCTCCGGCATTAAATTACCAATTAATACGATTGAAGACCAAACAGGTATGGCATCTAATAAACTGTAAATTTTAAATTAATAGTATTTTACATTGATTAAATATAAAATCGTATTATTTAGTAATAGGTATAATTTTCTTAATTAAAATTTAAACTATCTTAAATATATTCTAAAATAAATTAAAATATATTTATTCAGTATTTCTATTAAATATATTAAATTCTACACAATTACTTGTTTAAAAAATAATTTCTACATACATAATACGTATAAAAATATTTCTAAACTAATTTCACGAATTTAAAGCCAAACAAATCAACCGAATCTATGTTTTGCAGCAAAACGTTAGCCTAAAATATATTTGCGTTTAATATTCTGACGATTCGTGTAAATTCTGTACACATTCTGTGTGTTGTAATACTACTAATAATAACAACACAGTAGTCAATGAGGGGAGACACGAGGCATACGTACGGATCATTTGTTCAATAATGAATGAATGGGCTCAACAGCACTGTGCGTAGACATGCCCTCCCCCTTCGACATACACACACAGCACCGACACTACGACTATGTCGGTGCCATTATATTATAAATTACTAAACATAGGAATTTGTTGTTCACTTATGCGTGTGATGTGAATCTCTACAACACAATCGTGTAATAAGTCTATGAGATTGCGGGCACCGGGTGGGCTAGTATGCTGTTTGTGGGGGGTTCCCTGAGCCTACTACATAAGCACTGCGTGTAATGTGTAATATAAAAATTGTCGATTATGTATACTATTAACAAATAATTTAAATTTAAAATTTTGCTTACGATATGAATACTAATAATATGGGAAAAGGTACAGAATATTCTGTGTGCGTGAGTATTATATTATATTATATTATATAGAGATTTAAAGTGAAAAATATTTTAAATTCCTTTAATAACAAATTCTGACAAATCTATTCCCCAATGGAATCCACCATAAAATCCCTGAACATATATCTAACGCCAATCAATACTAGAATATATATATATATATATATATAAAAGAATATCTAACAGAATATTCTGCACAATATTCCGTAAATATAATGAATACAATAGCTTTTGAATTGGGAATTAAGAGGGGAAATGGCGATCAATAATAGTGGCAAAAAGTGTCACCAATTAATCAATTATCTAAACATAGGAATTTGTTGTTCACTTATGCGTGTGATGTGAATCTCTACAACACAATCGTGTAATAAGTCTATGAGATTGCGGGCACCGGGTGGGCTAGTATGCTGTTTGTGGGGGGTTCCCTGAGTCCTACATAAGCACTGCGTGTAATGTATAATAAAAACTTGTCGATTATGTATACTATTAACAAATAATTTAAATTTAAAATTTTGCTTACGATATGAATACTAATATACGAGAAGAATATGGGAAAATGTACAGAATATTCTGTGTGCTTGAGTATTGTATTATATTATATAGAGATTTAAAGTGAAAAATATTTTAAATTCTTTTAATAACAAATTCTGACAAATCTATTCCCCAATGGAATCCACCATAAAATCCCTGAACATATATCTAACGCCAATCAATACTAGAATATATATATATATATCTAACAGAATATTCTGCACAATATTCCGTAAATATAATGAATACAATAGCTTTTGAATTGGGAATTAAGAGGGGAAATGGCGATCAATAATAGTGGCAAAAAGTGTCACCAATTAATCAATTAAGAGTTATTCCGGAGGAATAGGATGGGTAGAGGGGTAGGCCTAACATTATTCATGTCATAGCGTATGGAGATATTTGTTATGCTTGAATGGTATGCCATTATTTGATACATACCATAGACATAGATCCCGGTGCGCTCCACTAGTCGTCGTATACATCCACTCAATCTACTTGTCTGTAAACTATTGGTGAGAGAGAGAGAGAGAGAGAGATGAAAAATGGATCAAAAATTTTAAAACTTAATAATAAAGTATCATTCAATGCATTGAATCTTAAATACAATAAAAACATCTCAATTTTATAACATAGCTAGTAACATAACAAAATAACATTATATAAGACACCATGTACCAATATATAGTGAACACAGTGTACGCTAAACTTTATAATTGAAAATAAATTAATTTTTAAAATATTTTCTATGACAGATTAACTTATAAGTATTATATGTTATAAAATATCTAGCAAATTACTGTATTATTTATATATAGTTTGACAACAAATATTAAATAACCCAGGTCACCGAGAATTATGTTACACTAGCCCCCTCATGGGAACAGTGACCAGAATTTGTTTATATTCCTAGAATATTCTGTAAGCCTTTATATATATAATATTCTGCAAACATTCCGTTATTCATATTTCGACACAAATAAGATTCTGTCAAAACATATATTTATTTGATAGAAAAATTCATGAAACCCCAGTTTACCCTGGTTATAATACACAGATTATAATTATATGTAACAAAGCCGATATTTTGTTACGTATAAAATTTATTTTGTTTTTATAATGTTCTTGAAATTTATTATTCCGTTTGAAATAGTGAATGTTGTGCAAGTGTAGTTTTATTATAAATTTATTATTAACCTGGTGCTCACTGTTTGTTATCTAATCTTTATAAGTGAAATACAAATCCTTTTCTTATTTTGCATTATATTTATAAGAATCGAGTCTTAAGTTTACTAAAAGTTTTTTATTTGAATATATTTTTTATATATCAGAATATTCTTCATACGAGACAAACATTTCTCTCATATTTTGCTGTTTTTATGCTTAAAAGATTGAAATCTATTAAATGTATTGAACGTCGAGGACATGCATGAAACGCACCGTTAGATTAACGAGTGTATGACATATGGGTTAACATGTATTTATTGAAATGTATTTTTTAGCTTGTATATATATTATATCACTACTTAAACTGTAAGAGACATTAGTCCCTTATATAATATTAGATATAGTTATGTTATATAAAAACAAAAATTATGATATCAATATAATTCATACCAATTTATTATAACCAATATATGGTTCATTAAAACTATCTATGATATTTATAAATATAATATCCTAATATAGTATATATTAGATTAATATAAATTTAATGTAATTTGTTTATGAACATTCTTATTTAAATTGTGTATATTAAGCAATTTAACATGACATTAAATTTTAAACGACTATATAATCCAGGGCATTTAAATCAGAATAAATAGCATATTAGACGTTAAACTGGCAATAAAGTAATATACTAAAAGAATATTCTGTTATTCAAGCAAAAATATCAAAATGAATATCCGTTTGCTATTAGAAATACAGTATATTATATATTTGCGACGATTCTGGAGTACGGAAAGTGTTTTTACTTTTGTTTGGTGTTATTTTTCGTAGAGATATGTGCTTTTTGTTATATAATTTTGTTGTTATTTCATATTCACATTATTATATAAAAATGTTACTGTATATACAGTATAGTATAGTATGTTTGTATCAAACAAAAAGTCAAAGTTATTGATTAAACGAGAGAGAAATTGTCTGAAATATAGTGTGTTTGTGTGTCTGGCTGTCTATGTGTGAGTTATTATTAATATTGGGTACAGTAGTGGCAAGTTATAATAAACAATAATAGTTTGAGTAAATTTGTAAAAATAAAATATAACTGATGCTGAATAATTTATTATTAATAATAATAATATACGAATTAATCTGAATAGAAATATTAGTATATTAATATGCATATTCATTATAACCATAATAATAAGCAACAAGAATATTCTGTGAATGAATTGTTAGAAAAGGGATATGAATTTCGTGTACCAAAAAAACTCGAAACGGAATCACAAACTAATTCTTAATAATACTCAGAATATTATTATTATTCATTTTTAATGAGAATAATCATAATAATAGAGTTACAGAATATTCTGTGAATTAAATAACAAAAATGAATGAAATATTAAAAATATTGTTGTTGTTTGGCTTTAAATTATAATTTATTGTTTTGTCGTATTTTAAAGCACGAGTAATGGATATAAATTATATTACAGCGTATACGCGCTTATAATGTGTTTTTTATTTTGTTTCGTTATCAGGAATTATGTGACAAAACACAACACAATAATAAAACTAGTAATTTGTTATCAAATTAAAAAAAAGTGCCAAAACTTTTTTATTGCACATTTTTAGCTACACAAGCAAAAATATTGAGAAATATTAACTAATTTTAATTCACTAAAAGTTTATGAAACATTGTATCAGGGAGAAAACTAAATTAAAAATTAAAAGTTATCGCATTATTAATTTTAATAATTATCATGCTATAAAAAATTAATTAAATATCGTAATTTATATACTATCATAATTAAACTTAAACTTTATGTAAATATAA